CATGTATAAGAGGGAATGTTTGAGCCGTGACCTACTTTTTCATCAAAAATGATACTTATGGTCACCGTGACATTCACCCACTTTTTCATCATATATTCACACACGCACTCGCACACACACACAATTCAGAGACGATTCACTTTACCTGCATTTGTATCTTAACCTTCATAGCAAACGAATTTTTTTTTTGTATTATCAATTTTTATTTGTAAAAAAAAAACGAAATTTTTTATGAAACTGAAGATACTAAAATTTATGTCGACAAAATTAATAGAAATGAGCAAATTTTTCAGTCTTCCTCGCCATATTTAATTCAATGTGGTTACATTTCAGTAAAGTCAGGGAAATGTCAAGAAAACAAATTTTTTGTCAGTAAATACAGGAAAATATGAGGAAAACAAAAATTTTTGCAGTAAAACCAGAGAAATGACAGAAAAAAATTTTTTGTCAGGGAATTTAAGGAAAATGAAGCTTTTTCCGATTTATTTTCAAAAATTGCGACTTTTTCGACTTTTCTTCTAAACATTGCAACAAAATACAACATTTTTTAGTAAAAAAAAAATGCAACTTATTTCGATTTTTATAATGTTTTTGAATCATTTTTTAACATAATAATTAAATTTTTCAAATATATCTATAATAAAAATCTTTTGCAATAGTTGAAATTTTTTAAAATTTAATTGAAAATAATTAATTTATATAGAATTATTTAATTGAAAATAATTAATTTATTTCAAGTATTTTTTTACAATTTTTAAAAATCAATTTTTGAAAAATTTTAATTGCAAATTTTGAAAACAATATTGAAATATCAAAAAAATTTGATGAAAAATCTTTAAAAGTAAATTTAAAAATGAAAATTAGGTAGTTTTTAATTTTTTAAAATTCAATATTTTCAGTATTTTTAATTACATATTTTCAAAAATTCAAATACATACGAAAATAATAACATTTTAGAATTATTTAATTGAAATTAATTAATTTATTTCAAGCATTTATTTACAATTTTTAAAAATCAATTTTTAAAGAATTTTAATTGCAAATTTTGAAAATAATATTGAAATATCAAAAATTTTGATGAAAAATCTTTAAAGGTAAATTTAAAAATGAAAATTAATGAAAATTAGTTTCTACTTTTTTTAAAATTCAATATTTTCAGTATTTTCAATTACATTTTTCCAAAAATTCAAATACATACAAAAATAATAACATTTTAGAATTATTTTTAACATTTCGAAGAAAACAATCATGTTCAAAATTTTTAATTAAAACTCATCAAAAAATTAATTAGTTTTTTTAAATTATACAAAAATTCTTTTAAGAAATTTAATTATTTTCGCGAAAAATTACATTAATAAAATATTTTTAAAAACTAATTATTATAGAATTGTTTTATAATAATTTTTTAAGAATCAATTGTCTTCGAACAATGTAAATAAAAATTTATGAAAATTAACTTTTTGGACTTATTAAAATTTTTTGAGAAATCATGGTCCTGTTTATAATTAAAATTCTTCAAAAACTTGATCATTTTTATTTATAATTTTTCAAAAATCCAATTATTTTTAAAAGATTTTACCAAATTTTAATTGTTCGTAAATTTTTTTTGAAAAACTATTATCTTTCAAAAATTATTTAAAAATAACTTAAGAAAAAGTTATGGAGAGTTACAATTATTATAAAAAATTGAGTTTTTATATTTAAATAATTGAATTGTAGAAGAACTTTCGAAATGTTATTTAAAATAATTGATTTAGAAATGATGTTTAGTTGAAAATTGTAGAAAATAAATGAATTCAGGAAGGGTTATAATTGTAATTTTTAGAAATTATTAAAATCCAAAAAATTTTACTCATTTTTCGTAAACATTCTTATTTTCCTGTAAAAAGAATTTTGTCAGGGAAAATAATTTTAATATCAATAAATTGTCGGGGAAATTGATAAACTGAAACTTGTGACCACCCTGAATTGGATAAAAATTAGAAATAATTTTTTTTCATCCAAAATTATTTGCTTCTTGGTTTCAATTTTTTTGCATCCAGTTTTAAATTGAGACAATTATATTAAATTTTAACGGCAAAAAACGTATAAAAATTGTTACGATGCTACTTTTTGATGCTAAAATATTCTCAATTTGAGAATCATAAAAAACTGTCGACAAAAAGATTGGTAACTTCAGTTTCATAATAAATGAATGTGAATTAATATAAATATAAAAATGAATGTGAACTAAAATGAAAAATGTGACTAAAAATATCTCTTTCTAATACTATTTTTTGTAATAAAAAAAAAATCTAAATTGTCCCCAGGCTCAGAAAGAAGAAAAATTATCAATTTGTCCAATATTAATAGTAAATAATATTTTTTAATTACAGGAAGTTATTGAGTGTGATCCTGTCTGACAATGGCAGACATAAGAAACATCAATTGATTGAAATAGGTGATAAGGAATTTTTAATATAGATTGTGCTAGTGTCTTTAGAGAGTCACTGCTATAAATAATTTTAAATCTTTATATGACTGATGCTCTATTAATTTTTGCTGATTTTAAAACGTAGACAGTAGTAATTTTTTTCTTATACATATGCAATTAGTCATTGTCGATCGAAAAAATTAATTCCTCATAATATAATTTTCGCGTAATCGCATACACTGCACAATTTTCAAAAAAATCAATTATCGTGCTTCTTGTCTTGTACCCTTCAAAATGACCTTGACCCAATAACCGAGTTCCAAACAAGGTCGTCAAACTCTTGCAAACTCTCATTAATTTACTTCCCCCTTCATTTTTTTTAAATATAAAAATAGAAAGAAACAATTTTACCTCGACTTTTCCAAATACTGCAACAAAATATACCATAGAATTCAATTTTTGATTTTTTAACTTTCGAAATTATAATCCACAACAATGAACATAAAATAAACGAATTCTTTTGTTAATCGATTTTTTCACACCTCAATGTCAGTAAAAATATAAATGAATAATATAACTAAGAATTTAAAAAAAGCACAAATGTACAAAAAATGAAAAAGGGGAAAAATTTTGTTAATACTCGCAAATAGATTTCTTGGAAAATTCATAATTATGCAGGAATTTTGTGACTTATTTGTAAGATAAGGAATTTCTTTCATACAGGTGTTTTTTTTCAAACAAAGACTAATTATGCACATAATCGTAACATGAAGTGAGTTAAAAAAAAAATTTTTTCGGAAAATTAAAGTTATTGACGCTTTCATTAAATACTTTATTCATTATAAAAAGTTGAGGTAGAATCTTCAAAAGGTAAAGAATTTAGCGAAATTTTTTGAAAACAAAAATTATCATTTCCTTTTATGAGGATTTCAGTGATTTCATTGCTTTGAGAACTGTGATTCTCTCTTTTTTTTTTTGTATCTATACTTTGTATGACGTCACAGACAGAAGCGTGGGTTGGGTTACACATTCAAATGTTGTTCACGTAATGATCTGTATATCTGTAAGTACATAAATTGTTAAATCAGGTACTTAATAGCTGGCCAGAAACCATAAAAGCATTAGGTCAAAGTACACTTTGTAAATAAGTCCTTTGAACTGCGCACCAGTGCGAGAAAAATATTGTTCAAGGATATTTTTTTTCTTGTGTTCCTTGTTTTTCATAGAAACTCTCTTAGTAATTTATGTGAATTTTTTCGTCGAGTGCGTAGGCATTTTGGAGTTTTGACAGTCTATGTCAGATTAGGAGGCCATATTTGGCCGGATCTCTGATGCCTTTCATATATATACGTATAACTTATGCGAGGTGTAAATTGATCGAGAGAAGTGGGTCATGTTTTTTAACGTTCCTTCAGCTTTTAATGTAGAAAAAAAATTTAATTTTGTTATTCCTCGTTGACAAAGGAATTAGGTTTGTTTTTTTCCGTAGAAAATTAAAAAAAGAAAAACTTGTCTAACCAGAATATGTATACTTACAATGAAATGAATGAAATCAATTTGTAAAACATATTTAGCCATGTGCTCTGAGAAATGCAATTAGTAGGAGGGACATTTGTCATTTAGAAAAACCGTACAAGTCAAACCAGAAATAAAATCTTGTCGACAAAAAAAGAAAAACTCTTGTTAGAAAATTTGCATTACGTGTCTCAACTACATAATTTACATATGGTTACTAACTTTTTTTTTCATTCTGCTTTTGGAAAGTGGTCGTTTTTATTTATTACGCTTAAGAAATCTTGTTTGAAGCATTAACTCGTGCTTTTATTCAGTACTCTATCTGATAAATTATTATTATTATCATTATTGTTATTATTATTATCATTATTATTATTATTATAATCATTATTATTATCATCATTATTATTATCATCATCATTATTATTATCATCATTTTTATCATGATTATTATTATTATCATTATTAGTGTTATGATTATTGTGATTTATTGTTATTATGATTTTAATGGGAAAACGTCTTCTTGGTAAATATCTTTCATTGCCATCCGTAGCTCCATAAATGTTAGACATGAAAAGTCCTTAAATTCGAGATTCAAATCAAGGAAATAACATTTCATGACGTACCAAACAATATAACCTTCTTTTCAATCTTTAAACCAATCTCAATTGTTGGCACAAATTCACGCTGATCGATTACTTTACTTTCATTAAATGTTTTCCTTATTGCAATTTATTTACCCCTTTTCAATCAACAGTTATATATTTCGAACATAAAAGCTCGAGAACGATAAGAAATCGATATTCATTCTTTTTAATGAGGTTTTTCACTCTGAAGGCGATAAAAGATTGCCACCGTTTTCGCCCACATGAGCTCTCTAACCAAAGTAGAATTATCATTGCCCACTTGCACATGTAGACACGCTCTTAAATTTAGTCACAAAAATAGATTTATAAAAAAAAGCAGTTTTCTGAGCATGAATCGTTTTTGTGAACAATAGAGAAGAGATATTTTTAGTTGCACGCAAAATCACAACAAATATTAACATTCACTTTTCTGTTTTATGATTCAGGGTTTTAATTTCGACGAGGAGGGCTTTGGTAGACGTCATTTGGACGACCTAGCATCTCGTCATCCAGAATTTGCCGATCATTTCTTTGGATCCTCTTGGGGTGATATTCCCTTTCAAGGCACACTCAAAAATCGACGTCGAGGCTCCGGCAGTGGAAACAATTACCAAAGTCATCAAGACGAGGACACAAAAAGTCAAGCCAGTGGAAGTAGTGCGGCAAGTGGTGCGAGTGCCGTCAGTTCACACGGTGATCCAGAAATTACGCGACACGAAAGAACTCCTATTAATCAGTACGGCCTTAGAAACACTGTCGACATTGGTCAACATCAAATAAACATGGACAATCCACAGAAAATTAATCGTAATCAACGATCAATGTCGGCTCCGCCGGAAAATAGGCAGGAATTTCAGGCTGAACAACCGAGGTTTGTTTCTAGAGTTGAGATAACGCCGCAACAACAACAGCAGCAGCAGCAAGAACAGCAGAGGGAAAAGTCGCCGGAACCGCAGGCTCAAAAGACGCAGCAGCAGCAGCAGCAAGGGAATGTTAGACACATTCCTATTTTTGTCGAGGGTCGCGACGAACCGGTGATTTCGCGAAAAAGAGATGACGATTCTTTCGCGTATTCTTCATCTCCCCCGCAATTTCAATCGCAACCGCAGTATCAGCCCCAACCGCAGTATCAATCCCAACCGCAATATCAATCTCCACCACAGTTTCAACCACCTCCAACTTTCCACAGACCTTCGCATTTCAACGAACGATTCGGAAAGCAAAATTGGCCGTCGCACTTCCAAGAAGCCTTCTTCGACAAACCGAAGTGGGGAAGGGACGAGACTGATCGTCCATTCTCGAGAGATTGGCCTCATCAGCAAGGCCAGCATCAACAACCGAAGTCACACCAACAGCAGCAGCAGCAACAACCGCCCCAACAGCAGCATCAACAACAAGACCACCAACAGCATCAACAATCAGAGAATCAGCAGAACCAACAACAACAACAAAAGCAGGAAGCAGAAGTTCCCAAACCAAAGCAAACCCTTCCTAAAGATCCCCTCGAGAGGGTCGCACTAGTTCAAAAAGAGGTCGACTCCCTCAACGAGCAAGTGAAAAACTACAAAGGCACTTCTCGCCAAGAAAAAGATTACATGTACCTCGACGAAATGCTGACCCGGGAATTAATAAAACTCGACGATATTGAAACCGACGGCAAGGAAAATGTACGACTAGCGAGAAAAACAGCTATCAAAAGTATACAGGAATCCATAAATCTCTTGGAGTCCAAAGTGCCATTACCAGGACAAGAACAGAAGCAACAAACCGAAACTACCGAAACCACAGAAAATCCATCAATCAAGACAGAGACTGAACAACCACAAGAGACTGTTGACAACAAACCCATTCCACTTCCTCCCGGTCCGAATTCTTCCCCACTTCCTCCCAAAGAGGAATCAAGCGAAAATGAAATAAAAGAAGTCAAAGAAGAACCACCAATCCCAACCGTTGAGACTCAAACCGAAGAAAACAAAACCGACGAGGTAAAGAATCAAATTTCCGAAGCTCCAACGACAGACATTGAACAATTGGAACTTTTGCCTACAATTCAAGATTCAAATTCCCAAGAGGCGCAAGAGACCCTAAAAGCTGCAAAGTCTCCGAAAAAAGTGAAAAAGACGAAAAAACAACCAACACCAGTTTCGATAGAGGCAATACCTCTTCCTGCGCCCATAGCCAGTGATAATGAAAGCTCAAAATAACCTCGAGCAAAAACCTCGCGTCTATTCGGTGGTTTGAGAAAATTTGCCAGAAGCAAAAGTATCTCTAAATCGGACAAGGGAAAAGAATAAAGAAACTTTTGAGTAAAATTGAGAATTTTACGCGAGGATATCGAAAAAAAGTATCTTCAGAGAAATAAAGGGCAATTTAGAAACTAAATAATTGAATAGAAATGATACTAAATTCACGCACAAGATAATATAGTTTATTTTTAAACTGTTAAGGAAAAGAAATGCCACATCCAAAGATTGTGATCGTCTTCGTGATCCATAAAGTGCACTAGCTTTTTTATCTCAGAATATAACAAATAACAAATAGAAGTAAATAAAAGAGAAAAAAACAAGTTCTAACCGTATTGAAATATTTTTATTTTTTCATCTACTATTGGAGTTTAGATCGTTTCTATTCGATTTTTGTATAATGCCTCTTTTCATCAAACGCTGTGCGAGTGTCTTCTATCTTTTTTTTTATGGTGCCATATCAGATGCGTGAATTATGCGTAACCTCGGATTAATAATCAATTATTATTGATAATTAATTTATGCAATTTTGTTTTTAATACGGAAAAGTGTGAGTGCTCGGAATTATAAAAAAAAAAAAAATTCTGAGTCAATTTTTCGATAATTTACGAAATCCGGGATATAATACAGTTTTTGAATTTTTTGCATACTTATAAATATTTAAAATTTTCATGAAAAAAATACAGTGGGAAAAATACCGCAGGGTTGCCACAAAAATAAATTGAATTAAAATTCAATAATTTACAAAATTTTCCTACTGAAATTTCTCCGAAATTATTTTTATGATTTTAATTCAATTATTTTCTACAATTTTATTTTACTAAATTTCTTCTCTCAATCAATTATTTTTAACAATTTTCGAGAAAGTTCTTTGAGAATTTAATTATTCGAAAAAAACTGAAGGTAATTTTAAAAAAATTCAAATAAAAACTTTTGAATAATTAACTTTTGTTAAATTTTTAATTAAAACTTTTCAAGAATTAAATTTTGCAGAATGTGTAATTGAAATTTTTCAAAAATTAAATAGTTTGGGATTTTGAATTAAAATTATTTAAAATTAAAATTTTCTAAACATTCGATTTGAAAGCTTTTGGAATACAGTTATTCATAATAATTGTAAACTCAACTTTTTATAAAAATTAAATTATTTTTTTAATTTTGAAGCAAAATTTTTAATTGTTTTAGAGAAAGTACTTTGGGAATTCAATTTATTATTCAAGAAAAAAAATAAGAAAATTCATGTAAAATAATTCCGTAATCTACTTGTTAACAAATGAATTTTACAAAATTAAAATTTTCAATTTGAAATCTTTTGAAATTCAATTATTATTAATGATAATTGTAAGCACAATTTTTATAAAATTCAATTATTTTGTGGATTTTTAATAATTTTGGAGAAAGTTTTTTGAGAATACAAATATTTAAAGAAAATCGCAAAATTAATTTTACATAATTTTGATTATTCGAAAATTTTTCAATTAAATTCTATTTTCATAAATAATATTCAAAAACTTTCAATAAAAATTGAAATAAAATTTTTTCAAAAATTAACTTTTTCAGAATTTTGAATTAAAATTATATAAAATTTAAATTTTGTAAAATTTCAATTTGAAACATTTTGAAATTCAATTATTCATAAAAATTGTAAACGCAATTCTTAGATAATTCAATTATTTTCTGAATTTCTATGTAAAATTATTCGTTAAATAATTTATATGTAATAATTTTATGAATTAAATTAAACTTATGAAATTTAATTAAAATTTACAAAAAGCAAAATTGAATTAATTTTCTTTAAGAATTGAATTACTTTTTAAAAATCCAATTTCATATTTTGTAAAATTCATTTTATAAATAAATAAATAAAGACAAATGAATTTTACAGAAAATGAAATTAAAATTATTAAAAATAATTAGATTTTTGAATTTAATTTAAATCATAATATTATACGTTTAAAATTTTTTAACGAATAATTTTATATAGAAATTCAAAAAATAATTGAATTCTCTAAGAAATAAAAAAATTTAATGGTTTTGTAACAAAATTCTTTAAACAAAAAGAAATTCAAGAACAGAATAATATTTAAATTAAAAATTTTATGTTAAAATTAATAGAATAATTTAATCAATCTTTTTAATATTTTCGAAAGTTGCTGATTACCGAAATTTAGAATTTTCTTCTGAATTCCAAAAATTAAATTTTCTTCCCTGTACTTTTGATAAAATTCCCTTTTTTCCTGAATTCTCTGCTTCCTCCGATTTGTGGCAATCCTGAAAATAATTTTTCCGGTTTTAAGAAATATTTATTTATCAATTCTAATCCGAGGTACTATAATATTCAATTAAAACGAACGGATAAAAATGTAATTAGAGATTATTGTTATCGATTTGTATTCTATATTTTCTGCGCAGCGTTTATCGCATTTGGATTCTTCCTATTTTCTTCTTGATAAAATTAAGTCGTACGAAAAATTTTTTTTTTTAGTAAAATTCGTTATTTTTAGCAAATCTAATTTGCTTTCATATATATATATTTAAAGGAGAATCTATAATTCATTTGTTTTTTATAATGCTGTAAAACTTTGCGAAATACGAGACTAGAAGAAAAAAAGTAATTAGATCGCCTCTCTTCGTTCAGTATTAGAGGGACGATTATTACGTGATTATTATTATTTTTAATTTATTGAATGACTGAAGATATGTGTTAAGAATGCTCGAATCGATTTTGCGAACGTCTTTTATTAATGAAAAAAAAAAAAATTACGTATGATCGAATATGGGCCGTACATGTAATATTTTTAATAATCGAATCCATTCTTGCGTGTACGTAATATTTTCAATGACTGTTTATCTTCATGATTTAAAGAAAGAAGAAATTTGTCTTTAAAATAAACAGAAAAATTAAAAATAAATTTCGACTTCACAAAAATATTCTCTTTGGAAAAAAAATATTCTCTTTGAAAAAAAATATTCTTTTAAAAAAAAAAATTCTCTTTGAAAAATACAAAATTGTTTTGTTTCTTAGATAAAAAGAAAATTTCTTGTTGTTAAAAAAGAAAAAAATTAATTTGTGTAAAAATAAACAAAAATTATCCTCTTTGGAAAATAGAAAATTGTCGTTGTTTCTTATAAGAGTGAATGCTTTGAAAGCTATCGTTTTAGTGTTAATTGAAAGATAAGCAGACATCGTCCCATTTTTGTTCAAGGTGATACTTGATATCATTCTCTTTAAGATGATTTTTCTGTAAAATATTTCCTGTCCTTTAGGGATGAAATCGTTTGTCTTCAATTGTTTTTTTTTATTGTTAGCGAGATGGAGTCTCCAAAAAAAGAAAAGAAAAAGGAAAGTGAAAGGTAGATCATTGTACAAAATGCCGAGGACGAGTATATATGTAATTAGTTTATGATAAAAGCATAATTAAACATTCTCTCACGTTTGAAATTTGCTTTTTTCATTTCTCCCCCCTAATTCTAATTCTTTTGAAAAATACCTTTTCGACATTTTTTCTTTCCGAATTTGTAAATTTCTAATAAAATTAGTTTTTGTAGAAGTGGTAATTATAAATTACTGTAAATTGTTAATTAAACTAATTTAATTAAAATTAAATTAAATTATTTAATTAAATAAATGAATTAATAAAAAAAATAAATAATAAATAATTACTAATAATTAATAAAAAAAAATATAAATAATTTAGAAATAAATGAAATAATAAAATACATTTACTCTTCTTAATGATTCATTGACGGAGTGAAAGACAATTGTTGAATTAAATCCGAAATAAATGGAATTTACGGTAAATATGAAATTGATGTTAATTATGTTTCCCCGGAGTTTGTCAGATTTGTATAATAGTAACCTAGTAACAACATATTGATATCTAATACTACCATAAAACCGATAGTTATTACAACAATGCAATTTATTGACGAGGCAAGTCAATAAAGTTTTCCCATGGAAGCTGCTGAGGAATGTATTCCCTTCTTCGTTGAGAAAAAGGGAAAGCGTGCGATTCAGCCTCTCATAGTCATAGATCGTAATATTGCATAATTCATACATTCTCCTCAGAAAATAATGTCGGTGTAAGTAACAGTTGCAAAGTGCAACTAAAATAAAATGAAGATGATTCTTGCACACTTCGACTTGCAAATTAATAATCCCAACAAATTTTTGCATCAATTCTGTTGGCAAAATTATTCAATTTGTGTCAGTGACACTTTTTCTAAATACAAAATCTAATTATTAATTATTATTGTTAAATTGTTAAATTAATTCATTAAAATTAAAGAATTGTTACTAAATTAATTAAATAAAATTAATAAATTATTATCAAATCAATTAAAATTGACAAATTATTATTAAATTAATTAAAATTAGTAAATTATTTTTAATAAACATAAATTAAACTAGTTAACTTAATTAAGCTTTAAATAATTAAAAAATTAGATATTTTAACAGAAGTTGAAGAAACAAAATTATAAATTTTAAACAAAAAAAATTTTCTAAAGAAAAAATTAATTTTCTATATAGAGAAAAAAAATTAAAATCTGAAATGAAAACAACATTAAAAAATCTATATAGATTGGAAAATATCCAGTTGTTAAGAAACTCTAAGAATTAAATTATTAAAAGCTTTAAATACGTTTTTTAACCGGATATTAAAATTTAAAAAGAAGAATTTTCTAACATATAACGTCTCCCATGTCTGAAACTTGGCAGAGCTCCGTCGAATGAAAACCTAAAAATAACATCGGGAATCGGTCAGTATAATGACTAGTGGGAGTATTTTGCGTCGCGACTGCAAATGTGAAAACCCCCGAAGAAAATTCCGAAAGACAGTCCCACCGTAAAAAATCAACCAATTTTTATTAAAATCATAAAATTTTTAAGTTTGAAAAAAAAGAAGAAAGAAAAAAAAAGAAAAAAAAGAAAAGAAAAAAAAGCAAAGAAAATTTGAAACTAATTTGATGTTACAGATTTTATTCTCTCGATTTTATTTCGAAACACAAAATTGTCATCTCGCATTAATTGTGATGACTTACTTAAACAATAAAGACATTAAAAAGTGCAATTTAGTAAAAATTCGATTCTACATTTTGGTCCTTTCAACGAATACTAATTAATATCACAAATAAGTCGCAGTGTATTATAAAAGCTGTACAAATAAAGTAATGTCCTGAGATAAATATTATATAAATCTTGTTTAAAAAAATATCGTTTAAAAAGTACCAATAATAATTATAAAGAAACAAAAAAAAGTTGATTATTTACTTTTAGCTTGACTTCTTCTTCGGTCTGAATGGAACAACCGTGTGACTTCCCAGTTCGAAGTCGTCGTGATTATCCGCGAAGCAGAGTGTGCAATAAAGATCATTATGACATCCCTGACATCGTATTAAATCCGACGCTTGATCACACATCACACAAGCTTCATCTTCGTCGTCCGTGCTCATGTGTGCAGTCTACGGACAAAGAATTATTAAATTTAAGAAAAAATTAAAAAACTAAATTAAAATAAATTAAAATTAAAATAAATTAAAAAACTAAATTAATTCAATTTCGTATCAGTCAAAGGGATTGTAAAATTATTCTTACTTCCACTTCCATGTCCTCTATCTCATCTACATCGTCATATTTCTTTTCCAGTGCAGCTTCGGCTAAAGCTTTTTTGATTATCCTTTTAGTAATCGCTGCTTCGTCCTCATCACCATAATAGGCATTGTGGATACTCGACGAAGACTACAAGAAAATAAATATATTAAATCAACAAATGTTATACAATAATTAAATTCTTAGATACTAGCAATAAATAAACTACAATTACATTATACTAACAATAATTAAATTACTATTAATAATTATTCTATCAAAAATTAAATTACAATTAAATTATTCTATCAAAAATTAAAATACAATTAAATTATACTATCAATAATTAAATTACAAATAAATTATACTATCAATAATTAAAGGACAATTATATTATTAAATGACAAATAAATTATATTCGTAATAATTAAACTACAATTTAATTTTAAATTGTCTAGAATCAAAAAATTTTCCTACTAAAACATAAAAAATTATTTAAATTTTTAATTCACATTTACAGTTTATTTTTATATTAAAAATTATTTTATTATTCAAATAGAAAAGGAAAGATTTTCTTCGCAAGGTTGACACAGATTACAGGTAAAATTCAGGAAATTACATCAAAAATACTGGAAAAATATTAAATTTCTAGAGTTCATAAAAAAAATTCTGGATTTTGGTGTCCAGCAACCTTTAAAAATATTAAAGACTTATTTCTTCTTCAATTTTTTTTTTGCTTGCCTTACAAACTGAAATCGCCACGAATTTTATTACCTACAAAATTTTAAATTTTTTTATTTCGTAGAAAATTCAATTATTTTTCGAATTTTTATGTAAAAAATTTTTATTATTCGTTAAATAATTTATAATTCATAATTTTATGAATTAAATTAAATTCATAAAATTTAATTATAATTTAAAGAAAATTAAAAGTTAATTAATTTTCCCTAAGAATTAAATTATTTTTAATAAATTCAATTCCATATTTTGTAAAATTAATTTATTATCTTTATTCTTTTATCAATGAATTTTACAAAATATGAAATTGATTTTATTACAGGTAATAAATTTGAATGAATAATTTTATTTAAAAAAATAAAAAATGATTGAATTTTAGAAGAAATGAATTTAAAATTTTTATAAATAATTGAATTTCAAAATATTTCAAATTGAAATTTTACAAAATTTCAATTCAAAATACTCAAAGAGTTAGGATTCTCAAAAATTGTTATTTAAATTTTTTTTAAATTAATTAAATTATAACTGAAAAATTTTCGATCAATCGAATTTTCGTAAAATTAAAATTGAAAACAATTAAATTTTGAAAGTAAACTTGAATTATCTTTTTTTCATTTTGAAAAATTGATTTCTAAAAGAAGTTACCTATATAAAATTATTAAGAATAATTGATGTAGAAAGTAATTTTAATTAAAAATTGAAAAAATAATTGAATGTTAGAAGAATTACAATAAAAATTTCTGGAAAAAATTTTAAAAAATGGTTTGATATTAAAATTTTAAAAAGTTTTTATTAAAAATTTAGAAGATTTAATTTTATTTTTAAAAATTGTATTTCTAATTCTTTTGAATTTAGTTGAATTTTTAAATATAAATATTTAATTGAAAAAACTTCGAATAATTGAAAATTTCTAAAATTGAATTGTTAACAAGTGGATTTTAGAAATATTTTAGGTAAACTTCTTTTTCATTAAATAAATAATTGAATTTTTTAAAGAATTTTCTCAAAAATTATCAAAAATTGAATAAATAATTGGATTCTTAAAGGATTTTCTCAAAAATTATTAAAAATAAAATAAATAATTGGATTCTTAAAGAATTTTCTCAAAAAATATTAAAAATTGAATTCTTAAAGAATTTTGGCAAAAATTATTATAAATTAAATTAAAAATTGAATTCTTAAAGAATTTTCTCAAAAATGATTAAAAATTAAATAAATAATTGAATTCTTAAAGAATTTTCTCAAAAATTATTAAAAATAATTGATTAAGAAAAGAATGTTAGTTCAAAATTGAAGAGAATAATTAAATGTTAGAAAAGTTATAGTAGAAATTTCTAGAAATTAATTAAAAAAGGTTTGAAATTGAAATTTTTAAAAATTCGAATATTAAAAGTTTTAATTAAAAATTCTAAAGAATTTATTTTTTTAGAAAAATTTTATATCTAACTCTTTTGAAATTAGTTGAAGTTTTAAATATAAATATTTAATTGAAAAAATGTCGAATATTTAAAATTTTTTAAAATTGAATTGTTAACAAGTGGATGTTAGAAACATTTTAGGTGAAATTCTTAATTTCTTTTGATAGTTGAATTCGCGGCGCGATTTCTTATCCCATATAGATGATTTACTAGAATATTTGCGAGATATTATTTTATTTCTCAAAACATCACTTTAGTATAATTTTAGCTCTAAAAAATAATTGTAAGACAGAATGCTTATAGGTAAATAATGTCTTATTAAGTAATGAATCATTAATCAAATTTTAAGTAAAAATACTTTTTAAACAACATAAGTCTTAATTGAAAGAATTTTTTAGAATAAGAATAATAATTAAACAAAAATATCTTTAAAACTAAAATAGATTTGAACGATATTTTATAGAAAAAGATTACAATTTGTAAAAAAATTTGTTAAGCAAATATTTAAAGTCTCAAATTCTTTGTTTAATAGAATATTTATGTGCCAATCTTTCAATTTTCAAAAAATCTTATTTATTGGAATATATGTTTAAATAAACTATTATTAATACAATGTATTATTTAGAAAAAATGATATATGAAAAAATGTATAATTTAATTAACTCTTGTATGACAAAAATTTTTCTTAGGCAAATGGTAATTTTATAGAATGTTAATTAAAAAGAATATTAATTTACAAGAAATGAAAGTGAAACGAATTCTAATTTAATAGAATACTTAAATGTCTGAATTATAATTTGGCAGAATGTCAATTCGATCGATTTTATATTTGTAAGAAATTCAATTTGACATAATATCAATTTATAAGAAACACTTTTTCGTAGAATTTTAATTTATCAGAATTGTAATTTTGTAGAATATTAATATTGACAAATCTAATTTTAGTAGAAATCTGCTTTATCAGAATGATCAAATGTTCGAATCTTCAAAATTTCTAATTTCATTTTTACCTACAATCAATGTGACATAAATATTTGGCGCAAATTTAAAAATTCACCAATCAGAAATTAAATTTTTAAAATTTGCGCCAAATATTTATGTCACATTGATTTTGGGTAGAAATGAAATTAGAAATTTTGGGGATTCGAACATTTGATCATTCTGATAAAGCAGATTTCTACTAAAATTAGATTTGGCAATATTAATATTCTACAAAATTACAATTCTGATAAATTAAAATTCTACGAAAAAGTGTTTCTTATAAATTGATATTATGTCAAATTGAATTTCTTACAAATATAAAATCGATCGAATTGACATGCTGCCAAATTATAATTCAGACATTTAAGTATTCTATTAAATTAGAATTCGTTTCACTTTCATTTCTTGTAAATTAATATTCTTTTTAATTAACATTCTATAAAATTACCATTTGCCTAAGAAAAATTTTTGTCATACAAGAGTTAATTAAATTATACATTTTTTCATATATCATTTTTTCTAAATAATACATTGTATTAATAAAAGTTTATTTAAACATATATTCCAATAAATAAGATTTTTTGAAAATTGAAAGATTGGCACATAAATATTCTATTAAACAAAGAATTTGAGACTTTAAATATTTGCTTAACAAATTTTTTTACAAATTGTAATCTTTTTCTATAAAATATCGTTCAAATCTATTTTAGTTTTAAAGATATTTTTGTTTAATTATTATTCTTATTCTAAAAAATTCTTTCAATTAAGACTCATGTTGTTTAAAAAGTATTTTTACTTAAAATTTGATTAATGATTCATTACTTAATAAGACATTATTTACCTATAAGCATTCTGTCTTACAATTATTTTTTAGAGCTAAAATTATACTAAAGTGATGTTTTGAGAAATAAAATAATATCTCGCAAATATTCTAGTAAATCATCTATATGGGATAAGAAGTCGCGCCGAATTCGCGAAGAATTTTCTCAAAAATTATTAAAAATACTTGATTTAGGCGAGAAGTTTAATTTAAAAAATCTAGAAAATAATTGAATTGAAATCACGAAAATAATTGTTAAGAGCGTACAGTAGTAATTTTGAAAAATAAATGAATTTTTAAACTTTCTACAATTTTTTCTTTCTGTAATTGAAGAATTTTCTCAAAAATTATCATAAATAATATGATTTCGAGAAAATGTTTAGTTAAAAATTCTAGAAAATAATTTAATTGAAATCATGAATATAATTTTGAAAAAGTAGCAATTTTACAAAATTAATTGAATTTCAAATGGTTTGAAATTTGAAATTTTCGAAAATCTACATTCATATGGAAAAATAATAATAATCTATTTATTTTTAGAGTCAATTATAAAACTCTCTTTAAGGTTAATGAAAACATCAAAATTCTGCCTGGAAATCAGGAAAAAACAAAATAAAATTTTCCTGGCAACCCTGTTTTCATTTTATTTTTAAGATACTCACTGTGGACGGCTGAGGATCGTGTAAATAATTAAGTCGAGACTGAATTTCAGCTATAGGATCATTACGTGCCGCTAGTTCCAATCTGGTCAAATATTCCTTTATCAAATCATCTGTCTTCTCTTGGTCGCTTCTATTATCAACATAGTGTATCTACAATCAATTTCAAGGTTTAATAAATATTTTCAAACTCAATACATACACTACAATTGAATTATGAGTTGAATTTCATTTACATTTATCGGTTTATCAGAAACATCGGGATTTTGATCTTTCAACAAAGCTAATCTTCGTTTAATATCTTCAACACTCGGGGGTGAAGTTTTTGTATCTTCATCTTTCAATTTTCTCAAACGATCAACAATTTCTTGATCTGCTGGCTCTAATCCAGTCTTTAATTTGTCCCAATGTTTTCCGTGAGCGTACATTACGATCGGAGGTTTTGCTGGATTTTCCAACGAATCCAATCTGGAAACCAAAAATGTAATGAAATAAATAAATACTAAATAAAAAAAAAGAGAAAAAGAGAAAAAAAGTAAATTAAAGTGAATGAATAATAAAATTTATAAATATAATGTAAATAAACTCAGTAGATGAAAGTCATAAGAATAAATGTTATTGTTCCACTCGTAAATATTAGAAATTAATAAATTATTTAAAAGTAATGTAATATTTCGAATATTCCAAATTTTTTTTCAGATTTATTCACAAAAGGATTATTAAAAATTTTAATTTACTTTGTTCGAAGGTAATTGAATCTTAAAAAATTATGTTAAACAAATTCTAAGAATTAGTTTCTTATAAATATTGAAAAGTAATTTTCGAAAATAATTGAAGAATTTTTATATAATTAAGAAAAAACTAATTTTTTGAAGAATTTTAATTAAAAATTTTGAATATGATTATTTTCTCCAAAATGTTAAAAATAATTGAATTTTAAAAAATTAGAACGAAATAATTCAGAGAATCACTTTTTTTAGAAACTATTTTAACATTATTTTTAGAACCTAATTTTCATTAATAATTTTCATTTTTATTGAATTTACACTTGAAGATTATTCATTAAAATTTTTGAGAATTCAATTATTTCCAAAATTTTCAATTAAAATTCTTTAAAAGTTAATTTTCAAAAATTGTTATAAAATACTTGAACAAATGATTTATTTTCAATTAAATATTATAAAAATTCGCAGAAAATAAATCGTAAAATATTTAATACTAAATTAGAAAGTCTTAAAATCGTAATGAGAGAAAAAATCAATTTTAGTAGAAGTGAGACTGACAATTTAAATTTAAATTCAAATTTTAAGAATTATTTAAGAGAAATATTACTTGTTTGTGATATCCACAGGTGCTAATGATTCACTATTTTGATTTAGAATTGTTTGTTGATCCATTGAATTATTATCTTCAGTTTTCGTATCCATTTTTTTACTGAAACATCGACCACAGACTTTCTTCAATCCGACTTTAGGAACATCACATTTATACTTGAGGCACTTATTACAATATGAAAAGCCACAGTTCGGACAAGCATGCTGAAAAAAAAATATTTTGAATCAATTGTCTTCGAGTATCAAAACAAAGTCTAAATAATAAACAGGGCTCTCTTTACAATACAACTGAAATCCCAGCAAATGAAAATAGAAACTTAGGCTTGAAAATTACATTAGATTAACTACGATATAAATTATCATGAAATTAATTTCGATAAAAATATGAAAATTCAAATTTATAAATTATAATAAAATTAGAAAAAAAATTTCCGAGAAAAATAAGAAAAACATGAATGTGACCTCTAACCTATTAGTAAATGTCAGAAAAAAAATTCTTACCTCTCGTAGAAATAATGAAAATTTTGATTGACATGTGTTACATGACATTATCTATTTTTAATGATAGTGTCTATGAATAATCTGAAATTTAAAAACTTACACAATTATTAATTTTAAGTAAATATAAATAGCTCTTAAAAAAGACGAAAATGACGTATTTAGTTTACAGCTGATCAGCTTCTGTACTATCGACACTTGAAATCAAATTTAATATTTAGAATTTTGCTATTTTTAATACTTTAATTATTTATTTATTTATTAATTAGTTAATTATTAGAATTAGAAGTAAATTAGAAACAATAGTTTCTATTTCCAAAATAGGCACTGTTTTATCGACTGAAGATTGTAAATAAAACTGCATTATCGATCAGGAATTGAAGAGGGCGTTAACAACAAATTTTCAAACAATCAAAACAATTCTGCAATCCTGCAAATTTGACAGCTTTTTGGTTAATTGTATTTATCCAAGTAAATTTAGAAAAACATTGGATTTTATTTTTTATAGAATTATAAATAAAGACGACTGATTGGAATAGTAATGAGGAGATTCATTAATAACTGTCAAATTTAGAATTATAAACAGCACCTCAGGTAATGTTTTTGTTTTAAAGATTCCTCTATTTACTTTTTTTAACGCAACTTATTATTCAATTTATTAATAAAAATATATTAGGAACTTTAAGAAATTAATAGGCAATAATTATCACTTAATTCAGAAAAATAAAAATCTATTTTCACTTCAACAAAAACAATGTAATTTGAATAATTTCAGTTATGTGCAGGATAAGACAAGGAATTCTAATATTAGAATTATGGCTATTACTTAAAATGAGAAAGTTACTTTACTTCTTTTTGAAATGGTTAAATCCTATTTTAAAAATATCGTCTTTAATGGCACTTGGCGCAGGTAAAATTTATTATTGTTTCTGAAACAAATTTATTTAGTTACTTATTTGTGATTAAAAAAATATTTTAATTATTTTCTATTCAATTTACTAGGTTTACTTTTTATATACGCATTTTTTAATGTAAAGGACGAGATTCTACCGTTTTCAGAGAAATTCGATTGTAGAAAAAACGATAATTGCAAATATTCCGAAGTCCCAGATATATCGAAATTATGTTCATCTCCTATGGAAAAAGAACTTCTTCGTTTGAAAACAAAGACTTTTAGTCTAGAAAAAATGCTACAAAAATTGGTAAAATTCAAATTAATTAATTAATTTAGTTTAATTTAATTTAATCTAATAATTAACATCTAAATTATTATATTACATTCCTTTTTCTTCCAGAGACTCCATTTAGGCAGATTTTATCCTTGTGAACATAAAGGTTTTATTTATCATTAATTTTTTGCATTATAATTTTTTTTGCAAAAAAAAATATAAATTTTTTTCTAATTTTAGAATTCAATGAAATGGCAGACTTTGCGGCAGAAGCAGTCGGAGGTTGTGTGATTGATACACCGGATACGGAGACATATTATCCGGTTACACTCACTTTTTATGGAATTCCGCTTTGGAAGCCAATTTATCACACTCCTCGAAAAATAATACAGGTAAATTATCATAAATAGAAATTTGTTGAATTTCCTAGAAGTTTAATCAGGGTTGCAACAAAAACTTTAATTTTGTTTTTCCCTTTAAATTTAATTCTTCTTTAAATGAATTATTTTTAATAATTTTTGAAAATTTCTTTGAGAATTTTCAAATTTATTTGTTTAGAATTAAATTTTACGAGATTTCGATTATTCGGAAATTCTTCAATTCAATATACAATAGAAAATAAAAACTTCAAATAATTTTTTTAAAAAATTCAATTAAACTTTTTCAAATAATTTAATGAGTTTTATTATTTATGAAAATAATTTAATTCCTAAAATGAATTTTTTTATTTATATAAAAATTATTGAATCCCTGTAAAAAATTTTATTATTTATGAAAATAATTGAATTATTGCAAAAAATGTATACAAAATTTGTAAATAATTGAAATTTCTGTAAAATTATCATTATTTATCAAAATAATTAAATTCTTGCGTAGAATTTAAAAAAAATGTTATATTATTGAATTCTTTTGGAAATTTTTATTAAAATAGATATTAAAAATCATTGAATTAAGTTATTTAAAAAGAAATTATTATCAGAAATAGAAAAAAATTGAAAGTTTTGTATTCGTGATAATTTCATAGTTTATTGTTAATAAATGAATTTTCCTTTTTGTAGCCATGGACTGAGGCGGGGGAATGTTGGGCTTTCAAAGGATCCTGTGGAAAATTTATTATTGAATTAGCTCGAGCTGCAGTAATTAGTCACGTAACATTGGAAAATATTCCAGTATCTGCATCCATAACAGGATCAATTGATTCCGCACCAAAAAAGTTTAGCATTTATGTAAGTATAATCAAATTGTACTAAAATCGTATCAAATTGTACTACTAAAATTCAAAATTGTTTTTAAATTATTTTTTTAAAACATAATTTTTCTATTACAGGGAGATTTTCAAAATGAATTCGTCTACATCGATTCGTTTACTTACAACATTCATGGCTCTCCCTCTCAAACTTTTGCTGTTAAGGTATAAAGAATAATTTTCTAATGCGATTAATTAACGAAATAATTCAAATTCAATTAACTAGTTAGTTAATCTTATTTTTAAAAAATAAAATTTGTTGCAGAACAGTGAAATAAGTCAATCGCCATTCAAGCGAATACAACTAGAAATACATTCGAATTGGGGAAATCCTGAATACACATGCGTCTATAGATTTAAAGTTCATGGTCAACAATTTGATTATTACACTTGACATCGTCGCAACATTTTTTTTTTCGAAACACGCAAATATTTTACTCAATACTTTCCGAAGTTTTTTTTATCTTTTTTTATTGTTTTTTACTAGTCTAAACCTTTAGGCTAACTTGTATAGTATTTTTTTTTTATAATATAGTTTTAACCACGATGCGATTTGCGAGAAGACTGGTTTGTGATAGTATTGATAACGTAATTAATAAAGAAAAATTAATTAGGTTTTTCTGTTTTTTTTTATTAATTTTTTCTTTACAAGTTGTTGTTTGTAATAAAAATTTTAAACATTGCAAAGAATGTAAAATTACCACTTATCAGTGGAACCACCTCCCCAGCTGGATACTGGGGCTGATGCGGGTTGAGCTGGAGTCCATTCATCTTGTCCAGGAACCTGAAGAAATAATTGTTTTATTTCAAATTTTATTTATAGTCTTTTTCAAATCTTTGTTATTTCAAAGACTTCTTGATAAGAAAATTGAAATTTGAATAAAATTAGGGGAAGAATATTACCTGGGAAGCCCATTCACCGGTGGCAACGAAAGGTTGTGCTGGTGCAGGAGCGGCTGCGGCAGGAGCTGCAGCAGCTGGGGCACCATCATCAGCCCAACTTTCAGTCACGGCTGGACCAGTTTCGACATCATTGCCCCAACCATCGGCTGAAGCAATGGGTTCAGCAGCTGAGAATTCTTTTGGTGCTGGTCCAGTAACTTCCTTTGCCGCTTGCTCTTCTTTCTCAGCCTATCACAAAAATTTACAACAATTAGTTTTGTTCAAACCGAATTTAGAGAGTTAACCGAAAAAAAATTCACTTTCAGAAAAGATTAAGCCATATGTACCAACAGATTTATATTCTGGACATGGGTTTATCATCATATTAATTATATTTCTATTTTAATTATTCTATTTCTACTAATTTAGATATCTCTGTAAATTAATATTCTATCCAAATTTAGATTTATAAGGATTTGAATAGTTGGGAATAAAAATTCATTACCTCTTCTGGATCTCTGTAGAAGAACAAATCGACAACAACGTCCCATTTGGTTTCACGTGGGATGGAACCTCGAAGACGAAGAACTTCACGCGCCAAGAGCCACCACATGAGACCAATGCTGTTCGGACTTCTGTTATTGCATGGAATTGCAATGTCAACGAATCGCAATGGTGAATCGGTGTTGCAGAAAGCGATAACGGGAATGTTAACGTAACTGGATTCAGTGATGGGTTGATGATCTGTTGCTGGATCAGTGACAATCAAAAGACGTGGTTCCCTGAAAGCAGCCTTAAAAATTTCCCTCAATATTAATAAAATATCAGAAAAATAACTATCAAAATTTTAAATAAACTTTTGTAATTTATCAGAAAAGATTAAGCCATTTGTTGCCAACAGATTTGCATTCTGGACAAAGGAGTTTCTTCATGTTTGAGAGAAATTGAAATAATAAAATTTTAATTGTAACAAGTTTCATCGAAATTGAAATGTTTCATTGAAATAGAAATAAGTTTAATTAACGTTGAAATCCTAAGTTCATTAAAATTGAAGTAATAGTTAAATTAATAGTGAAATATACCTGAATCTGATTTGTAAATGCACCAGGAGTAAAACGTCCTGCAATTGGTGTTGCACCAGTGTGATTGGCGTACTTCAAGACTGCTCTTTGACCATAGAGCTTGCAACTGATGACGAAAACATCACTTGGGTGTTCAATAGCAACAATAGCTCTGGCTGCTAATAAAAGTTTCTCCCATGTTCTTCTCAAATTTATTATGTTAATACCAGCACCTGCAATCGCCAATAAATATCTAAATTTTATCAAAAAAATCAAATTTTTGCCTTGGAGTAAATCAGGGTGGTCACAAGTTTCAGTATATCAATTTTCTTGACAAAATTGAATTTTTGAATTGAAAAAAGTCTTAATTTTCTCAATTTCCCTGACTTTACTGGCTTGTGGCCACCCCGTAAATATTTTTAAGAATATTTTTTATTTATAATTACCATCGACACGGCGCTTAAAAACATACTGCTCCATTTGAAAATTTACATTTTCACTACCCAAATGGGTACCGGCAACCAACATTTTTGTAACATCATCCTCCTTAAGAGCTAATGCTTCAATATCTCCAGACATTTTAACGTTATGGTTAAATTACGAGTTAACCTGAAATAAATAAGAATTTTTAAAAAATACAAAAACAAACAATCAAAATACAAAATTTATAAATTATCTTTAAATTTAAACAACAAAAAAAACTAAACAATTTAAAATTAAATTAACGTCAGTACGGAAAAGCAAGACATTCAAGACATTAAAATAACTCGAACATAACCTAACTTTTGACATTTGTCTAATTCGTCAACATTTGTAAAATATTAACTGGAAAAATAAGTCCAAACTTCAAAATGATTTTCAGACACTTTGAAAATATGGAAAAATTCAAAACACGTCGAATATTGTTAATTAAAAGTCCTCATTCTTGTATATTTTGTGCCACGTGCTTGAGGCACAGTGTTTTGGTAAATATCACTGTTAATACAAGTCTTTTATACTAAAACAATATAGTACTTCACAAGAAAATTCTTCCTACAATTTCTAGATTATAAGCAATTTTTCCTTTACTACATATTTTAAACAATATCTTTAAAAATAACGAGAAAAACTTACGTCGTGACGCCACAAGGAGAATTCCCTAAGGAAAAGAATTGTTCATGGACAGGAAACAAAGCAGGTTGTACTTCCCCCACACTCGCGCTAGAAAGTAACATCCGCTTACGCCATTTTGGATAATTTGTCCGCGAACTTTCAAATTAATTCTTAATTTCGGGTTAACTTATTGATTATTTAAGAAAAACTTAAAGTAATAAAACATTATTTTTAAATTAAGAAATTTGGATTAAAACAAGCGTAATTCAATCAAAATTTACAAAATTTATTCAAAATATTTAAATATCTCTGATCGAATCGTATGGATCAGGCTTTAGACGCACCTTCATTAGTTGGACCATGACCGGAAGTTGATAAGAAAAGAACAACACAGATCAAAAGTACTCTTATTAAAATAATTAAAATATACAATTTTATAACTCATTTTAAATATTTAAAACTTTTACAATCGTTACAATCATTTTTTCCGTTTATTATAAAATTATCAATCATTAATTTTTTTCCATCGTTTTTATACACAAATACCGGAAAAAATAAACCCAGTGCTTTCCGACATTGACAACTACTAAAGTCAGTGCAAGTCCGAGTCAAAACATTGTCACAAAATCTTGTCGAATTTTGTTTATTTGTTTTGTTTTTAATTTATTGCAAAATGTACAGTTTATCTTAGATTATTGAAGCTTTTAAGCTTTTCTAATATCAGCAAAAGTCATAAACATATGAAATAATGAAGTGGAAGAAAAGTATTTAGGAAAAATGATATATTTTCACGACTTTCACTGTCGAACATAACCTAAAAAGAATTTATTTTCTTTGACATTTCTATTGTACAAACCAAGTACATTTTTATATTTAAAAGAAGTTTAAAATAGTTAAATAGAAAAGTTGTACATATAATGTTATAACAAAATGTATCCTGCAAATCATAAAACAGTTTTTGTGTTAGATCACACACCGTATTTCGGTATTTCTACCGAAAGTCCCTTAGATTTTGATTGTTTAAAAAGTAGAGGTCAAAATCTAATTCCCTTGGCACCAATTTGTAAATCACTATGGACAACGAGTGTAGAATCATCTATGGAATATTGCAGAATTGTGTGGGATTTATTTCCTACCGGAAAATTGGTATGTAATGATAATTATTTGAGGTACAACAAAACTTTGTTTTTGTAAAAAATATTTAAATTTCAGGTCAGATTCGTTGTCAGTGATCATGCGGCACATATTTTAAATACTTGGAGTTCTTTGCAACAGAATCTTTCACACGTAATAATCTTTTTCTTAAATAGAAAAAATGTATTTTGATTTTTTGAAATGTACAGTTGCTAATGAAGAAAAATTTTCAGATAATGAATGGCATGGCGATAATTGGAGTACCGCCTAGAACTCATCAGCCAGGAGCTGATTTTTCGGTAATTCATGGTTTAAGAGTTGCAATTGAGGCTCTAACTGAATCGTCAGACATTCAGCAGGAAAAAAGATCTGCTTTGAATGAAAATGCTAGCAAACTTTTAAATAGAGGACGAGTTATTTGCATTACAAGTGCTAGGGATAATATTAATATGAAAAGTTTGGAAAATATTTTCCTCAATGAATTGGCACAGCAAAATAAAATAGCCTTGTCTTCCGATAGGTATTAGTTACTTAATTAATTTTATCAAGTTTATTTATTTTAACAATTATCAATTTTTATTAATTTTATCAATTTTCAATTTTATTAATTAATTTACTTTTATTAGCACTTATTTAGAAAATTCAAATGCTAGAGTTTAAAATTTAATTTGTTTCAGATTAATACCGATAAACCATTGTCATTTGGTTATTCTTAATATATTTCCCAACAATGTAGAATCTCAGGTTACTAGTCAAACTCCAAGAGAGGTAAAGTATAAAATTCTTGCTATTTTGTTATAAATCTTGATAATTAAGTATCGTGATCCTAAAGTTCTGAACGTACAAATGAACAAAATTTATTTACTTCTTCAAAATTAAATATTGCAATAATTTTGCGTCTCCATCAAAAAAATTAATTGTAAAGTTTTTAAATGTAAAATTTAAGTTTTCAACATTCATATATTTTTTTAATCAGTAATTTATAAGGGTTACCACAGGTCAGGGAAAAATCATGGATTTCTATTAAAAGTTCGGGAAGATTTTATTTTATTTATTATTTTATTTTTAAGAAATATTTCGTTTTTTTGAACAAAGAACTTGTGGATCATTATAATGTCTTAATTATTGGAATTAAAACTTAATATCTTAATATTAGAATGAAACAAAAAACTGAAATTGTTTTAGGTTTCGCCTCTTCTAACGATGGAAGTTCACGCCATGAAGGCTCCAAGTTTACACTGTAAATTGTCTCATTTAATTCTAGCTCATTACGATTTGGCGAGTACAACAGTCACAGGAATTCCTATGAAGGAGGAACAAAATGCAAGTTCTTCGGCAAATTATGATGTCGAAATTTTCCACGCGTCCGCCGCACATACTGCAATTTTGAAAGGTTCTATGTACTTAAATTAACACTTTTGTTTTCTGAAAATAAACTTTTTTTTATTTGTTTACAATTCATACAATTTTATTGTATTTACTAAAATTGATACTTTTGTTTTCTAAAAATAAACCAAAAATTAAATTTATTCTATTTACTTAAATTGATACTTTTGTTTTCTAAAAATAAACCAAAAGTTAAATTTATTCTATTTACTTAAATTAATACTTTTGTTTTCTGAAAATAAACTAAAAGTTAAATTTGTTCTATTTACTTAAATTAATACTTTTGGTTTCTAAAAATACTAATACTTAAATTTAAAATTCTTCAGTTCTCAAAGTTTTGAACGTTCAAATGAAGGAAATTTATTAATTTCTTCATAATTAAATTTTAATACAATATTTTTGCGTCACGAATAAAAAAAATAATAAAGTTTCTAAATGTTTAATTTAGATTTTTAATTTTTATTTCAATGAGTAATTTATGAAAATATTTTTAACGAAAAATATTTCGTTCATATAAACGTTCAGAACTTGCAGATGATAAATATTGTTGAATTGCAGGAAATCCTCAGGATACAGCTTTGATGAAAATTTTCCGAAGATTTGAGGGAGGCTCTGAATATGAAACAATAACATTAAAATGGTGCACGCCGCGAGGTTGCAGTGCCTTGGAAATGCAAAATTGCACATCAATGCATCGAATTACGCCAGTGGATGTAAACAGTAGACCCTCATCATGTTTGATTAACTTTTTATTAAACGGTCGATCCGTAATGTTAGAAATGGTGCGAAAAAGTGGAGGCAAATCGATATCACATCTGCTGGCCGCTCACGGTGGTGAAATATTTATTCATACACTTTCAACGTCTAGAAGTGTTTTAGAAGATCCTCCCTCGATTAGTGAAGGTTGCGGTGGAAGAGTCACAGATTATAGAATAACAGTAAGTTCTCGAATTAACGTCCCCAAAAATTCTGAGCGTTCAAATTGAACGTTTATTTACATCTCCAAATTGAAATTTTATTGCAATTAATTTCTTATTCAAATTAAAATTTTATTGCAATAAATTTCTTATTCAAATTAAAATTGTATTGCAATACGTCAAGTATTAAGAGATAAATTATAAAAATTCTAAATGTTCAATTTCGTTATTGTTTATTAAGATAATCAATAATTTAAAAAAAATAATTTTGACAAAAAGTTTCGTTCATTTGAACATTCAGAATTTGTGGATTATTTGAATTAATATTTTTGAAATAACTAATAGATGCTAATAATATATTATATACATCGATTATGTATATCTAAAAAATATATATTATTATATTTAAAAATAAGTATATATTAATAAAAATAAATAATCGATTTATATAATTATTTAAAAGTAAAATCTAATTTTGTTCCGTAATATGGTTAACACTTGGTAACTTCCTTTGTCACTAAATAATGCTTTATATATATATTGATTAATCATTTTCAAGTTAATAGTTTAAAATTAAATCTAAACTCACTTTCAGGATTTCGGAACTTTAATGCGAAATAATATGCTTGTGCCTCTAAAGCGAACTTCTATTGACGTCGATGGTCCAGCGGAGAAAATGCGAGCTAGATTAGAAAGACACACAAAGTACTGGCCGATTACTATTTCCAATACTTTGATGTTTAATTTAAAACAGGTAAAGAGTTCATTTAATAAAAAAAGTTAAATAAGAATAATTTTTCAGAGATAGTTCTTAGAAATATTTTATTATTAAATAGAATTATAATTAATTAAATTATTCGAAAATTAATTAAATTGAATGGAAATTAATTAGACTAATTGAAAATTAATTAAATTAACTAGCAAATGTCAATTTTGGAGTAATTTCTGACTCAAAATTAAAAACAAATCAATTCACAAATTTACTAATTAATTATTATTATTTATTGTTTTCAAAAACTATAATAAAATTCTTTGCAGGAATTCAATACAATTTTAACAGAATTTCTCAAAAAAATTCAATTATTTTTAAAAATTTTGATTCCATTCATTATGAGAATTGAAATATTTTCAATACAATTTTAATTAAATTCCTCGAAACAATTAAATTATTTTTGAAAATTTTAATAAAATTCTCAGCAAGAATTCAATTAATTTCATAATTTATAAAATTTTTCTCAACAATTTAATTATTTTAAAGAATTAACATGAAATTATTTTATAAGTTATTGAATTATTTTTATAATCAATGAAATTCTTCGCAGAAATTCAATTATTTTGAAAAATTTTGGTAACATTCTTTATAAGAATTCACTAATTTTAAAAAGAATTTTAATAAAATTTCTACTAAGGTTTTAATTATTTTCTTAATTATTAAAATGTCTGGAACGAATGCAATTATTTTAAAAAATTCTAATACAATTTCTCGAAAAAATTTAATTTAAAGAAAAAAATGTTTATTATAACATTCTTCGCAGAAATTTTGATAGAACACTATAAGAGTTTAAACATTTTTAATATTATTATAATTAAATTTCTCGTAGGAATTAAGTTATTTTTAAAGATTTTAATTACATTTTTCGTAAGAAATTTAAGTATTTTAAAAAATTTTCATGAAATTATTTATGAGAATTGAATTATTTTCATAATATTAATGAAATATTCTTCGCATAAATTTAATTATTTTGAAAAATTTTGATTTTATTGTTTATGAGAATTGAAATATTTTCAATACAATTTTAATTAAATTCCTCGAAAGGATTAAAGTATTAAAAAAAGTGTTAATAAAATTTTCAGCAAAAATTCAATTAATTTCATAATTTATAAAATTTTTTTCAAAAGTTTAATTATTTTGAAGAATTTTCATGAAAGTATTTATGAGGATTAAATTATTTTCATAATTAATGAAATTATTCGCAGAAATTCAATTATTTTGAAAAATTTTGGTAAAATTCTTATAAGAATTCACTAATTTTTAGTAGAATTTTAATAACATTTTTACTAAGATTTCAATTATTTTCTTAATTATTAACATTTCTCGAAACAATGCAATTATTTAAAAAAAAAATTCCAATACAATTTCTCGAAAAAATTCAATTTAAAGAAAAAAATGGTAATTATAATATTCTATGCAGAAATTTAATTATTTTGAAACATTTAAATGAATTTTTTTATATAAGAATTCAATTATTTCAGATTGAAAATTATAAAAGAAATATTTTTATTTGAAAACAATTTGGTTTAATTAATTTTTTGATTATTTAATCTTCGTAGCATTAAATTAGAATTTCATTAATTAAAAAATTTAAAACATTAAAATAAGAAAAATTATCAAAAAAATTAGGAAGCAAAAAGTAAACGAAAAACACTAACTTCAAACTGCGAATAGATTACCGGAATACATTGATTAATAATATAGAAGATTAGATATAAGATAAAAGATAGATAGAGAATAGATTAAAAATTAATTAAATAGATTAAAAATTAATTTAATTAATTTAAATTAGTTAAAATTAATTAAATATATTTCTAATAATCGATTTAAATGTATTTTTATTATTTGGAATGAAAAAAATTGAATTTATTCATAGGTTGTGGATCCGCTGCCAGATTTGATTGTAAAGGATGAATTAACGAAAGATGAAGTATTGCAATGTAAACAAATTATTTTTGGCTTACTTCAACTGGAAGCTAAACATGAATCATTACCATTACCGAGTATCGGCGGTGGCCGAGGGGGAAAAGGTGGAGTGCGACGTGAAGAACATTATCGTCTTTTATTCACTGAACTCGAAACATTTTTAAAGGGTCACGCAAATAATTCACCTGCTCACAACGAAGTTTTCAACTGTTTACTCGAAGTTCGAAACAAGGATGACAAAGATAAAGTGGAATTGGATCAGGCATTACGCGAATTGGATGGGCAAGTTGATACGCTGTAATATTAAAATTAGATTAATTGTTTCTTCTTTCATTTTTAAAAATTTGTCCTTTTTATTCTACATCTTTCTTGTCATAAATCTTATTTGTTTTCAATTTAAGTACTCTTACCAATCTTCAATTTAAGTCTTCTTATTGTCTTCAATTTACGTATTAAATTGTTTTCAAGTATTTTATTATTTTTATTTTTTTGGTATTTTATTTTTCATTTTTTGGTATTTTACTATTTTTATTTTTAAGTATTTTTTTATTTTTATTATAATTAAGTATTTTATTATTAAGTCATTATTTTAATTGAGTAATTAGCAATCGGCTAAGAGATCTAATTGTAAAAGACAAATTCCATTTATCTAGATTGGGGAAAGAGGAGCCAAATGTTCGATCGACAGTTATACGAGCAACGACAGATTCGCCAATGTCACCGCCACCTGTTTCATCAGCACCTGTAAAATTGCAAAAAGGACTGTACGGACAGAAGAGTCTTTTGGATATCTGGTTACAGAGAAGTGCTCCCAAAAATAAAACTCCGGAATTTTGTGGTAGATTGAGTGAGGACGGTATGAAGGCGAAATTATATCCTAATCTCAAAGAAACTGGACGTGAACCTCGAGAAACCATGATCGAGGGTTAAAATCTCATTTCGAGAACAATGGCTGCTTGACAAAGGACCAAATCGTAAACAGGTGAATATTATTTAGAATCTTGTACGAATTTGTACATATTAAAGTGAAAGCAATTTTATATAAATTAATGAATTTAATATTTTAAGGATAATGCTTTGATGTTTCTCATCAATCCTAAAATTTAATATCCTCAAATTTTTGCATTAAAGTTACACTTTAATTAAAATGTATTTACATACATTTTAATTGTAAATTAAATTTAAATTATTTAAATGAAAAAATTAAAATTGAAAATTATTTAAATTACAAATTTTAATTCATTTTAATTACAATTTTAATTTAAATATAATTAATTTTAATTTATTTTCACTTCTAATTAATCGATATTGCTGACTGACTTATAGTCGGTTTCTTCTTCTATTTCTGATTGACTTATAGTCGGATTATTATTTTATTGATGACTTATAGTCGGCTTATTATTTTATTGCTGACTTATAGTCGGTTTATTCTTCTATTTTTGATTGACTTATAGTCGGTTTATTATTTTATTGCTGACTTATATAGTCATCTTCTTTCTTTATTGCTGACTGACTTATAGTCAACTTCTTTCTTTACTGCTTTCTTATTGCAGTTTGGCGAAAATAGGTACTTTTATTTTCTTATAAAACATTGAAAATTTATAACTACAAAAAGTCGGGGAGAAAAATGGAAAAATTTGAGAAAAACTTGAGGAGTAAGGAGAATCGCCATTTAAGATTTGATTACTAGGGGACGGCAGGTGATGGGCACATAAAATTTCGCATTCGAGTTTATGTAAATGAATTTTCGATTTTTTTTGAGCAAGTGAAAGATATTTGGTATTTTTTCCATATTTGCGATAATTTTCGAAAATTTTCCGACAAGATTTTCAGACGAATTTTAAAATATTTTTCTGTTTGAATATTTTCGATTCTAAGCAAAGTCAGTTTGCTTAAAGAAAATCTTATTATTTTCCCAAAGACTTGTGCTTTTGAGAAAATGTGATTTTTTTAAAATTTTAATTTAATTGAATTTTTCTATTATAAGAAAATACTAAGATAGTATTTCAAGGTAATTAGCATTTCATAAAATATCGAATATTTTTGAACGATCACTCATGGTATTTTACACTATGTAGATCGGAATTTTTCTTTATTTTCTCTCTTTCTTCCTCTATTCTTAATTTTTCTCAAAGTGGACTAATTTAAATTAGTAAAAAGTCCATTAAGTTTTTGTTGATTTAAAGAAATCATTTGCATTTGCTTGTTTATTCGATTGTAAATTAATTTTATTCTGATTCAAAAAAAAATTTGATTAAAAAAAATTTATTTTATTCAAAAACAATTTATTTGTATCAAAGAAATTTTTTTTTTTTTCTTAAATTAAATTATAATTAAAATTACAAATAACAATGACAATTATAATACAAATTACAATACAAATTAAAAACTACAATTACAATTATAGTATAAATTACAAACTACAATTATGATAAATTACAATCAAAGAATTATTTCTTTGCATTTTTTTACAACAAATTGACAATTTTTTAAAAATTGATTAAAATATATTTGATTATACATCAATGATAAAATTTCTTTGATTAGTTAGTCAAAAATTAATTATTTTTTACAAATTTGTTACTAAAACTTACCAATTTTCTTGAGTTTGTTACCAAAAATTGACAATTTCTTTGAATTTGATGCAATAAATTAACATTTTCTTCAAATTTGTCAGGAAAAGTTAATAATTTCTTTGAATTTTTTACAACAAATTGACAATTTTTTAAAAATTGATTACAATATCTCTGATTTTATATAAATGGTAAAATTTCGTTGATTTAAAGAATTTAAATAATTTAAAGAATTCAAACCCGAAAATTTGACAAAATCAAAGAAAAGTCTTTTAAATCAAAGAAATTTTCCTTTGAATCAAAAACTCTCTTTTTGTTTGAATGAAAAATTTATTTTGAACGAAAGAAAACGATTCTAAGAAACTGAATTCTTCAACTTAACAAAGAAAATTTGTTTTCTTTCATTGGAAAAAATTTTTGATTGAAAGAAAATTTCTTCGATTTAAACAAATTTTGAGGTTTTAATTTAAAAAAAATTGTTCTTTAAGTCAAACAAATTCTATATAAATTAGTGATTTTTTCTTTGATTCAGACAAATTTTCTGTTTGAATTCAAGAAATTTGTTCCTTAAATAAAAGAAATTAGTGATCTTTTCTTTGATTTAGACAAATTTTCTGATTGATTTCAAGAAATTTGTTTTTTAAATCAAACAAATTTCAAAGAAGTTAGTGGTGTTTTTTTTGGATTCGGACAAATTTTCTTATTGAATTCAAGAAATTTGTCCGGTGAATCAAAGAAATTTTAGAGAAATTACCGGCCTTTTTTGGTTTCAGACAAATTTTCTGTTTGAATTTAAAAAAATTTGTTTGTTAAATCAAAGAAACTTTAGAGAAATAATTATAAAATTAGTGCAGTCTGTTTGCTAGTACGAATTTAGACAGTTTTTTTTTTATCAAAAGTCCAAATACTTTTTGCTCGTCAATGATATCATTGGTTTATGGAATTTAGAATAATTAAAACTATTTCGAAATTGGGGTGCAATAAAAAATCCGAACTTGTTGATTAGAACAGTTGCGTATCTTAGTCTTAGTTAATTTTCTTCTTTCGGAAAAAAGACAATCCGTTTTCTTCTATTCTTAATATCCGTTTTCACTTTTCTTGATATCCATCTGCTAATTTAGTAAATTACTATTATTTTCCAGTAAATTTCTGTCGAAGGTGCTAAAATTTGTTATAATTGAGATTGCAGGTAAACGATCCAGAGAATTAGTGTTCAATTTTTCGTGTTTTGATGAGGAAGTTGTCAATCCGAGAAAGAAGGAATTGGTGTTCAATTTTCGGAGGTTCGATGTGGAAGTTTTCAATCCGAGAAAAAAGGAATTGGTGTTCAATTTTTGGAGGTTCGATGTGGAAGTTTCAATCCGTATTTTGGAGAAAAGAGAGAAAAGAGACCTGTTGGAGAAAAGAGAGCTATTGGAGAGAAGAGAGAGAGAATGTCGTGTGTATAAATCACCTTGGGGTTTTAGAGGAACACAACAACCCTGACATAATGACACCTGTTGACTTGAGTCTGTCACCGGAATAAACATGAGCCTATTTTTGCACCGACAAGATTGAAAATCCCCCTCACGATTTTTAAGACTAGAGAGAGGGAGATGAAAAGCCGAATGTCGGAAGAAAAGCATTGACGGAAGAATGAAAGTCAAGGAGAAAGAGAGAGAGAGAGCTATAGCTGAATATTTGGATAATCCAACGAGAAATGTGTACCAGTAGTGCACGACGAAACAATTGTCCTCCTCCCACAGTTTATCGCAGCCGTCTGCGGACTGCGAATACATTGACCCTTGTCGGAAACTATAGCGGCCGTGGAATGCCCTTGCTAATCGATGGAAGGAAGGAAGGAAGGAGGCTGGTGTATGGTGCACCACTACATAATATAATGCGAGCACGTCGAGAAAAGAGGAGAGAAGAGGGAGGAGATGTGGAGGAGGTGGAGGCGATGGGGAAAGAGGAAGATGACGAGGGGGTCGAGGGGAACTCACAGAGTACAAGTGCGTGACGTAACGGTTCATTCATCTCAGGACAGACGATATCCCGGTCAATGGTGTCTATGTATGCAAGCTGTACGTACACAATCACGCACAGGGCCACCTGTGTGTCAGTTTGTGCGTTTGTGGTGCATACACACAAATATTCGCACGCCGCTTTTACACTGATTGTGTGTGTTTTGTCTCTCTCTCTCTCTCTCTCTCTCTCTCTCTCTCTCTCCTTCTTCCTCCTCTCTGATAGGCAACCGACCAACTTGTTGTGTTCTCTTTCTTCCTCACCCCCACCTTTTGATACGGCTTCCACGTGTCGCCCGAGATAAGTAATTTACGAGCCGGCTCTCTCTCTTGCAAAACAAAAACCCATCGAACATTCCACAAACTCTGCTTGCTCTGACTCTTAGGCTATAAGCCATTCGCCAATGGTCACCATATTCCCGACTCCGAAATCAGAGTTTCTCTAAGACTGTCAAAATTGAGACAAAAAAGGTATCAAAACGTCGCGACGTTTTCATACCTTTTTTGTCTCAATTTTGATAGTCTTAGAGAAACTCCGAAAATTCATTCAGCTCCTTAAAAATCGCAAACTTTTGATCCAAGACTTAATTTTCCCAGTTCTTCGTTTCTTTCGATTTCAGAAATACCAAAATCGAATAATTCACAAGTACTTTATCCAAAAAAAGAAATTGTTAATTATCTTTTGAGGCAGTTTCTCCACTCTTTCTGAAAAGAGAATACCTTCGTTTTATTATGAAAAATAGTAATTTTTCAGAACTTGAAGAATTTCTTGAAAGCAAAAAAAAAGGAAGAAACAGATAATAAATTTCAAGTTTGTCTTTCCCTTTTTTTTCCCGGAGTGTAATCGAAGAGAGAATATGATTATAGCAGGAAAAGCGGTTATGAAGGAAAAAACGAACCCTGCTGTATAACCTGGAACGAAGTTAAATAATACGTGGAAGCGTTGAGACCCCTACTATAATCCAGTGCTGTGCACATCGCCATGGCAGGATCGATATCGCCATACATTATCAATGGGTTCACTGGAAGCGACATCGTGAACCCCCAAAGGGGAGTAAGCGAGAGAGAGAGAGAGAGTAAAACGAAGAGAGTAAAAACGAATATAGACAAATATAGAAAAATCGTTCTTCTTTTCTCTACATGAAAAAAAAGAAACATTTTCTTGCAGTGGAAAGGAAGCATAATACTCCCTCTATAGTTATCAGAGAGACACAGCTGTTATCGACCATCTCTTCCCAGTAGAGGAAGTTGCTCGAAAATAGTTTTGCCTCTGTTTGTCTGCTCTTTACTGTACGTCAATATTTGGAGAGACCCCTCTTCTGGCTTTGCTCTTGATCGAGAGCCACTGCTGTGGATATTTTGAATTTAGTCCCCTGCTGCTGCTGCTGGTGGTGCTGCTTCGTTGT